TTATAAAAACAAAAAATAATAACTGGAAAATAAATCTAATTAGCAATCCTCGAGACATGTTTATAAAAAAACATGAATGTGGGAACAGTCAACTACCATATTAATATGATCAAAATTCAAAATTATTTAAAATTCAATATTATTTTGCTTGTATATTAAATATTAAAATGAAATAAAAACTTCGATGGTAAAAATATTGATAAAATGATAAATTATTTAAAATATTCATCTAAATGTATAGAATCGAAAAAATAGGCTCTAAAACCAAATAAAACTCGAAATATGCATTTATATCATTATATGCAAAATACAATTTCTAAACTATCTTTGTTTCAGCACGAAACATATTTGTTTCTTACTCTGTAATTTTTGTGATGGTGCAAAACAAATATGCAAGTGCTACAAGTCCTCTGCCCTAATAATAATGAATAATGATATATAGTTAAATAATTAAAATAATAAATAATATAATAATAATAATTAAAGTCAGTCAGTTTGTTACAAAAAAAAACAATGTTTTTGAAAAATGTAAACGAGTGTGCCGTTTGACGCTAAAGCTTTATTTTNAAAATAAAATAATTTAAAATTTATAAAATTTATAATTCGCATTGACTACGTGTGTTACATGCTACAACCACATATTTTTCAAATTTTCGAAAATGAATGCTCGGCGATTAGATCGTAGTATGGCTTTGTATTGACTGAAGCTCCATTCAACGTCACATGATGTACCTAGTTGGCGCGTATTTAAGTAAAGACATTTGTCCAGGTGTTAGGTTACAACTGAAATTGTCCTCATCCGATTCACCATTTAATATTTTATTTATTGATTGTAGAGTTTTAAATCCTTTATTTTTTTGTAAAATCAAGGATAATTTGTTCTTAACTTTATCTGCGACTCTTCCGTTACACTCAAGAAGTCGATCCCTTGCGTTTATTATAATCTGTAGACTTTCATGAAGTGTTAAACTCTTGTTTTGTAGTTTAATTATAACTTGGGATAAAAAGCAAAATTTACTTTTAATATATGCTAAATCATTTTTTAAATTTTGATTATCAAATAATTCTTTAGCTTTTTTTATCGAATCTGATTCGTCATCTAATTCTGAGATCACAGATTTAATTGAATTTAAATTATCTACATAATACGTTACTGCAGTCAACCACGTTGCCCATCTTGTCAACACTGGTTTTGGAGGTAAAGGTAAATTTGGAAACATTTCACGTAATTTAAATGTTTGGCTTGGATCTTTTAAAAATATTTTTTTTACATTGGCTATCATTTTATCAACTGTAGTGTATTCGGCTCTTTTAGTCTCGCAAACTCTATGAATTCCGTGGGCTAAACATGTTAAATGTATCAGATTCGGAAATAGCACAGTTAAAGAGTCAGCTGCCTTCACCATATATGGTGCAGCGTCGGTTACAAACAAAAGAACATTGTCATACTTGACTCCGGACGGCCATAATAATTGCATGGCATCGTTAAATAATTTACCAACAGTTTGAAAATTACACTTAAAAAGTTCCTCACTCATTAATATCCATGGCTCTGAATAATATTCGTCGTGAAGAAGACCGATAACAACATTGCATACAAACCGACCGTCAATATCTGTTGTCTCATCTAGTGAGACCCAGATCGGTCCATCACCAATTTCTAGACGAATACGTGAAATAGTGTGTTTTAACTATTAACCTAACCATATTTTGACAAAATTTGAGCACACATTTATAATATACAAATATAATATAAATAATACAAATATAATACCTATGTGACCATATTATGTAAAATCAGTGTTGTGTATTATTTAGTTATTTTTCCTATTCCTTATGTAGAACTGTATAAACATGTCGCTATTATGGACTATTACCCTTAGTGCAAATTGTCCAATAAACATTTTCAATTTTCAACACTCAAATCCGGACTTGGGTAAACCTTTCCTAAATATTGTGAATTATTATTATGATTGTTGTTCTATTACATATNCCGTCATTTTTTACATTATTTTTATATTATAATATAGGGCTGAAATTGAAATTTATTCAACTGTAAATCAATTGTTTTTAATAATTTATATTTTGCCCTTTAAGTGTTGCCTCTAGTTTAGAGTTCATAATTTATAAATAGTTATTATATATTTGCTTAATTGTTGTGTTAAATTTATTAAATTAAAAACATGGATGGGGTCTCAAATAGAGGAATTAGGATTCACTGGCTTAGTGAGTTTACACGTCCACAAGGATATACAATTAAATGTGGAAGATATTACTGATAGATTTTTCAAAAAGAAAAAAAAAGTATTGATTTGACTATGTAGATAATTGTATGGATTGCATAATACAATTGTGATAATGGTATATTGTTTATAATAATTACACCTCTAAATCCTAAAAGAACTTATTATATTTGTTAAGTATGTTTGTATAACCATTAAAATATATTTCATAATTATTTTGAGTAGATTTAAATATTTATATAATTACTCAAGAGACAAGCATATTCTACATAGAAACTTAAGAAGTTTTCCTTAAGAAATACGATAAATAACATTGTCTGAATATGACAATTTTTCAAACAGTAATTTATTATAATATTAGCATTTATCAGAATTGTAAATAATACATTATTAATTGCAGCATAAAAAAATAAGTTATACACACATCATCATTATCCACATTCAATAATAATTATAGTTTTAAATAATATGATATTTAAATTATTATTAATTAATAAGACTGGGCATTGACGAATTAAAAAGTTAAAATTAAGCTGCATAAAGAGTTAGTTACTTTTTAAAAAGTAGGAAACTCGAGAAAAAAGAATCAAATTTTTCTCTATGATATGTAGTGCCTTATGAGTCAACTAATTTTATTGTCACTTCAAGACTCAAGTTTATTTTATTTCTAATAAAAACTCCATAATATATTTAAATTATACTTATATCCAAAATATTGAAAATATCAAATATCACCTATAAATTATAATTTTAAATACTTAGTTATTTGTAACCTATCTATACACTGTTCAAGTTAAGAAACATAATTAGCGGAGGTGACACCCAATTGTCAAAACCACCCAGTCAATGAGTACAAGTTGAGCGCCAACTAAGTTTTGTAATTTGAACAGAGTACACTGTCAAAGTGTTTCGCTCTTTAACTAGGTATTTCCAGAACCTTAAATATTCATCAAAATAATGTATATAAATACAAATGTATACAAAACGTGTAAGGCAAATACATTTGGTTTTACGCAATGGATATATTCTATTAATAGGTTATAACTTATAAGTAATAAATAATAATTTATAATAATTTTAGGATTGTTTGTTCACAGAATATAATATTTAATATGGATAATAGATAATAAATAGAACAGTTAGAGCCTTATTGGGGTAACCTTTCAAAAACCATTATTGAGAAAAGAAAACCATCTATAGCTAATTTAGTCAGTATTCAATACACATTTGTATACCCATTATTAAATTAAGTTATTATTACATTTTTCAAAGAATAAAGATTAATAAGTATTACTTTTATATTATTATGTATTGACAATGTCATTTCAACACTTTACTGTTACATTTATAATGGTAACACAGGTATTTTGCTGATAATTAAAGTATGAATGCTGAAAAGCTTGGTTGATACTTAATAGTCATGTAATTTTACTTTTAAAATTGATATGATCTAAATATATATAAATGGTTTGATTAAATAGATTTTCATACTATTAATTGAATTATGTGTGTAATAAATTATATTTAAATAATGATTTTGCTCATATAGTTGTAAAAAATTGAAAAGGTTTTATCATCACTTGGAAAAAGTTGTAGAATATTAGGTAAATAAATACATTAATAATAAAATATCATTATTTTGGTGGATTTTATTATTAATTACAGTACCTACAGCAATGAATATTTGAATGAATACATTTCTTTTTTTTTTAATTGCACCTATATTATACTTATGTTATTTGTTTAACTTAAAAAAGGTAAAATTTTAAATTAAAATAAGTAACTGATTTTTAAGTACCTATTAAACTACTTATTTTCTAATTAACTTGAAATTTTACAAGTCAAAAAAATGAAAAATAACTTTTAACTATAAATAGTTTAAACTACAAACTTAATTTACATTTTTCTATATTAATTTAACAAACCAAACAATCAGTTAACTTGCCCCACCTTGACGAATTATGAAATTATTATAATGTTATTTAACATTTAGTAACTTATAACTTATTTTAATCAGTAGAATATGGTATACGATCTAACAAATTGATCATAGTTCTTTGATTATGTTGTCCCAACTCACTTTTATAAGATATACAATTTTTACTACATATTTATACAATATTATAATAAGTTAAACAACTTAAAATAAATATATATTGAACATGGTAATGTACAGTAATATTTAATTAAATGTTGGGAATAACTGTTTATGAATAAGGAGAAATGCATTTGTAATTTAAACTTTCTTAAATAATTTAGTTATTATTATTTATGTTTGTATTTTATAAATTACAATATTTCTTACAGCATAGTTCTTTACACAATTATTTTGTTAGTTTTTTTTTCATCTGATTTATATTTTAAAATACTACAGATTAGTTACTGAATAAAATAATAACATGACAATAATGATACATATTTGATAATTAATAGGTAACCAAATTAAGAAAATTGATAGCTACTATTTAAAGGTAGTACCGAGTTCTAATTTTTATCAATTAATTATTTGTACAAAACCACAAATGATGGTTTTTGTCTTAAAACAGGTCTTGATTTATAATTTGTTATAAACAAAATGTTACCATTAAGCTGACCTTGAAATTTGCAACTCTATTATTGTACTTGTATACACTTTAAAATGATTTCATTAAAATTAAAATTAATTTTAGCAAGATAATTTATAAAGTTTAAAACTTTTAAACTTAGATTGTATGGATAAGTTCAAGAGTAATATTTCTTACAGGTACACTACATTTATAAAAACATACATATTTATATAATTTATCTTTGGACAATATATTTCATTTTATACATCTATTATATTTCAAGTACATAAATCATTTGTTCGTAATACTATGGTCATACAAACTAAACTGCATCTAACCAGTACAAAAAATAAAATAGTTTTAAGGTAAAGATCAGGACTTTCAGTGGTACCTAAAAGTGTATAATAATACTTTGTTACTGTAATAAATAATATAAAATTTAAACAATTTAATTTATGGATAAAATATACTTAAATTAATTATTGGATATACAATTTCATAAACCTTTCATATCATAATAATGCCATTCTTAAATAATGTTTAGTAAAATGGTTTGTTAATAAATTTAAATATAAATAAATATCAACACAATTGCTGACAATAAAATTCAATCATGACTATTAAAATATGCAATAACTGAGATCCACCACACTAATATATTACCACACATTGGTAAAACCATTTATAATCTTAGTATAATTATACTCACACATAATAACAATTAAAAGTGCAAATGTGTAAAATGATACAATATTTGTGTGTATATTATATATCTATGTTATAATTATTTTTTGAATAATAATATTTATTAAATAATGTGTACTAATACATATTTAAAAGCATAGAAAAGAAAAGAGAGACAGCAAGATAAAAGTATATTAAGACTATTTTCTTTCATAAATTTTGTCATTCAGAAATTACTATTTCCACCTCGACGGCGACTATTGTTTAGAGGACTTCGTTCTCTACGATGTCTACTGTTGCTTTCAGCACTGCCATCATCATAATAATCAGACAAGAACATAGACTCAGAGCCTGTCCCTATTGATCCATCAAAGTCCATGGGATAAGAAGAACTAAAGTACAAAAAATAACAAAAAAGTTAATTCAACATAAATAGTCAAGAATTATATACCAACAAACATAAATACAAAATTAAATCTGAGAAGTAATAGATTCAATGAGAAAATATAATAAACATAAGTTTTTAGTGAATTTTACCATATTATTTTTTTATACCAAAATAAAAATAAATATCAAGAAAAACATATGTAAATCTTAAACTTCTCAATTAAAATTTTAACTATGCATTTCTGAAACTTGCCTAATAATGCGACGGCAAGTAAAAAATAAAATTCTTTTAAGTTTTTTGTTGTAAAAGAAATAGTTGAATGACCACAGGCACCCATCTTCGCTAAATGGATCTGATCGCATATCAGGTGTATAGCTGTAAGTGACACATAATGAATATAGAATGTGTTTACAATTGGGTTGTATTAAGTTTATTACCTGTAAATGTCACATTGTGACATGCCAATTTCTTTGTCAATTACTTCCCAGAGTTTGTCACGTAACTGTGAGTAGTTTTTGGGAGCTGTATTACTTTGTAGATGATTTATCATAATAATCTGATTAGATGTAACACATGATGTTGCTGTGTTAGGTTCTACAATGACTGCTGATAAGTTATTATCCACATCTCTCATGACCCACTAAAATGATATAAAAAATAAAACATTAAAAATAATAAGTAACTGTTGTTCTTGAAACTTTTATAAGAAAAACATTTTTTTTGCTATTAAATATTTAGTAACTGAATAGTACACAAATAGTTTTTATTTTTACAGTTGGATATCTATAATTTGATTTTTTTTCTTGTCCCTAAATTGTCAATATATTATATAAGGTGTTGCAGAAATCAATACAAATTTAAAAACACCATTAATGTCACACGTTTTATTAAAAATGAAAATTTTTCCACAAAAAGCTACCAATCATCATCAGCAAAATTCCCATTTGTACCGATTTCTGAAACACCCTATAGTTCAAGCCTATCATAAAAGTGGGAGGACAAAAAACACACAGTTATTCCAGCACCAGTTCGATAAGAGGGCTACATTTTACCATTATATTATAGAATAGGGATTATGTATGTTTTTTGAATTAAACATGATTTATTATTTCTCACAAATACTGGTAGTTTGATGAGGGTGAAATCAAACACCAACAAAAATAATTTTTCCTCCCAATTCATAGAAATAAAACAACCTTTTTAATCAAAATTATGCTAATGATAAAAGTGTGAAATATGTTTACTTGGCACCCAATCGAATGCTATCGAAATAAAATTATGTATCAACCACGAGTTAAAACAATTAAAAATACTCTTTAAATATAATCATGGAACAGGAAGCTGCTTTTTCAATAACATATTTACAATATGTCAAATTTGCGACAAAATAAGACACTTGTCAAAGTTGTGTCATCTATTAATCAGAACTTAAAAAACTAACTTCTAGGTTAAACTTTAGTGATAGCTTCACCTTTATCTTCAGACTTCCCAAAATATAAATATTAAATAAATAATATAACTGAAACTCTGTGTTAAAGCTAAAATTAATATTAAATAACATTACAATGCCAGTAACAATAGGCACTGAAGCAAGTATATGTTGAATTATACATACGTTAATGTCTCCAAATAGCAAATTAAAAAAAGAACTTTTCATATTAACAGGAATAAGCCTCTAACTCTATACACAAATCAATTTTAATTACAAATAAACATAAGCTCCCATGAATTTGAAATTACAGCATATGTTATAAAAAATATATCTTTTCATAACATAATAATTGGAAATACATTTTTATACCAATATAATGCCAATATGACTTCAAAAATAGAACTTTAACATTGCATTAAGATAATAATATTAACAAAAATAATAATGATATCATAGTAATACAAACTCTGAAACTTGTAAGCGTAATATTTATAATTGTAACAATGTGCATAATATTAAAGAAGATGTAAAAAATATTTTTTCAAACAAACCCTGTATATTCAAGAGCTCACAGTATTTTCACAGATTCAAAAATGAACTATGGTTTGGCAGCACAAATAAAAACAAATTTGGAGACGCATCAGCTCAACTAGTTAATCAAAACCAATGGAAGGTGAAGCTATTTCAATAAATATAGGAAATAGAACAATTTATAACAAAACAAAAATATTTTCTTGAACCTACCTACACATGGAAATATAAAAAGCCTTACAAAATTTAAAAAAATGAATAAATTACATGATTATAAAATTGTAATTTTTACTTTAACAGCTGGATTAGACAAGCATAATTGATTTATAATAAAATAATTAATTTGATGTGAATTAGAAAATTCTAATATGAAATTACTTATTTGTCACTAGGCGCAAAATGATAGATATAACAAATAATTGGAAAACAAGAAAACATGAAAAGGTTATTAATTTAATGCACAATAATTAAGATTATAATAAAATAATAATAAAACAAAATTATTCTTTAGTAACCTTACAGTTAACAAAAATATCAATAATGATAATTGATAGGTGCCAGTGACATTAATAAATTTGAATCAATTTATAACTTTTTTAGTACCAACAACCTTTTGAATTTTAATTGTATATTTAGGTATACTTTAACATGACCAAGTAATGAACAATAATTCAAAAAATCAAAAAGGAAATACATATATGGCATAGTACGTGGTAGAACGTAGCCCTCCCATCAAACGGTGCACCTTGGTAGCAAAATAACCGTGAGCTTTTTGTCGGCCCATATTGTAAATGGAGTTTGGTCTCCTTACCTCTAATTTTCATATTATCTAAGGTATCTAATAGTGTATGGACAATTCTAGGTTGTCAATGAGGGTTATATCTTAAATGTATTTATTAGAACTAGTTTACAGAAGTTTAAACTACATAAAATCACTTTAAATTAGAATTGAATGTTATATTTTATAAATTTGATGAAGTGAATACTTATACAAATAACTGGAACATTAAATGATCATTTTTGCAGATGCAGAGCAACCGATTCCTAAATTTGAATCAGATAAACATTTAGGATACTAATAAAATTACACTAATGAGTTTTAAAATGTAATATTTTGATTAAAATAGTTAATAAATGAATAATAGAAGCTGGAATTCGTGAATATTTAAAAAACAAATGCAATATGATGACTTGGACAATGCATGTAATAACAAATGTTATCTCTATCGAAATATCATTTATCACAAATCAGTAATTTACACTTTTTAAAAGTAAAAAGGTTAGGTGTTCAAAAATTTAATGAGTTGACAATAATGATTATTAGGTCATTTTTAGGTTTTGTATCTACAGAGACTTATACTAAGAATATTGTTTTTATGCATGTAATATTTAAAATATTTTTATTTACCTCCAAGAGCTTCAAACAGTATTTAATTTTGCAAGATTTTCTTTATTTAAAAATTTGAGTGAATGTAAAAATCTTAATTCTATATTCAATAAACAATGCATTATAAAGAGCATAGAAATGAATGACAAAATATTAAACTACAACCAATTAATTATTATTAATTTTAATATTATACTATAAAATTAATTTGTAAATGAATTGTATACTTAACACTTTAAATCGTTAAATAATAATTAAATTGCTTACACTTCAGTGCCTTTTTTTTATCTTTAGTTAAAAAACTAGTCGGGTGAATGAAAAGTGGCCGCTGGCAAAATGATAGGAACCTTTTTTTTTTCGATAAGCTGCGTGTTCTCAAAGTGGATCACGTAAAGCGCGTAATTGCATTATGATTAATAATTAAAATGCGAGTGTTTTTTTCCATAATTTTGTGGTACAATGATAAAAATTCACCGCTAGGCGCGTAAGCATCAGAGGCCACTTTTCATTCACCCGACTATAATAATAATATTATAATAATATTCAACCATAATATTTATTAATTATTAACCTGCAAACTACGTTCTCTACTAAATTCTGATGACTTGGCGTCTGTGAAATCGTAGTCAGGTGCAAATGTGGCATTAAGTGTTGCAATCAAGTAAAATAAAGATTTGCGTGATATTGTATCACATAACAAGACTTCTTCATCTCCAGATACACTGAGACTGTAAACATACATAAATCATCCATTAAATTAAATTTAAATCAACTTTTTTAAGTAGGCTTTAAGATTAGATAATACCATACAATAATAGATAATCGTTAAATTATGAAAGTCAAATTATTTAATGACAAAAGTTAAGACTAATGAGAGTATTATTTTAACTATTTCTGATAAGCAGGCCTGTAGTTGAATATTTTCTGCCCTAGAGCAAAAATTGTAATGCAGCTTTTTATACCATTATTTTTTTTATTTTTCCGCCTTCAATTTCTTTCAAAATTGTATGATGCCCTACACATCACTTGCTTGTTCCCTAGTGACGAGCTAACTAATAAGTGATAACTATCATGTAAAATGTTTAACTTTCACAATATCCTCAAACAGCAACTCTGTGTATTTCTTATTAGATATTTAAAACGAAAGTGATGCCTATAATAGACTGTTTTTCTTTTCAATATATTATCTAAATATATTTTACTATTGAAGTCAGAAAATCATTTTATTGTAAAACATTAAATTTACCATATAAGTTTAATACAAATTACCAGTAATCAGGGCCGTCTTAAGGTTTTACGGGGCCCCGGGCCCAACATATTTCGGGGGCCTTACAATACCTACTAAATTATGGTATATAAATTTTTTAACACATAATGCATATTATTTATTAAATATTACACTTTATTAGTAAAAAGTGAATTTTTGTTTAAATCTCTGTTACTTTATTCTTTATTTTACTTTCAAAATAAACGGTCAAAAAATACTTTCCTATTAATTATAACGTCAAGATATTAATTATTCATACATCAATATGTTTTATAGTTAAAAAATAAATGTAATTCATTAAACAAAAACTAATATATTTTTAAAAAAAACATGATATAAATTTTTCAATTATTAAATACTCTTTAATGGTTTCTTCTTAGCTTTTTCATTCGCAAAGTCTTCAATAACATTTTCATAATCTAAACTTGATAGTAGTTCATGTTCAATACTCATTAAAGATAGGGAGTTTAATCGTTTCTGGCTCATTGTACTTCTAAGCTCTTCTTTAATTAAATTTAACTTTGAAAATGAACGTTCCCCACTGCAGTTGGTAATCATCATTGATAAAAAAATTCGGAAAGATATTATTATGTTTGGAAATGTTTCTTCTAGTCTATTTGTTTTTAAATATTTGTATGTACTAGAAATACTGAATTCAGAAATATCAAGTTCCGATAGATACGCTTTTAAGTGTATACATTCTAAAATTAATTCATTTTCATTAATATCTACGTGATAAATTTCCGCAAATGTTTTACAATGGACTTGTACTTTTTTTGTCTCTAAATTTTTTAAATTAGAGAATAATCCAAACAGTTTATTTATTGAATTGTATGATTTACCACGAATTTTTAACTGAGTTATTAATGTATCTATTATTGGGAAGTAAGTTTCTATTTTGAATTTTTCACTACCTGAAAACGATGTACTTTTGTTTGTCAGTTCACCGGGTAATGTTAAATGAATACTCCTCTTCTTAGTTCGTTGGTGTAAATCTTTATAGTCAGAATCTGGAAATTTTTCTCTAGCGGAACTTTCATAACTATAAAAGTTATCTCTAATCTCACTTAGAAATCCAGCAAGAGAATCAAATAATTTTGAACCGACGTCAATAGTAAGGTTTTCTTTTTGTAAATTTTTGTTAATTTTCTTCGTCATAAACGCATAATTAAGAACCGTTCTTAAATTGTTATTTTCTATTTAGTTGAGTGTGTAATTTATTAATTTATAATTATAATAATAAAGAAAATAATAAATATTAAGGTTAGTGTAAAGTTTACTTACGTAAGACAAATTTTTTTTGAATTAAAAATTAAACGCACACGAGCCAAAATGTAGATATTTATGTGGATTATCCGATTATATGTGTGTGTAATGTTCTATGAACTGCAGCTGTACAGTCAACAATGACGATTGACATCTGTGTCGACGCTACAGCTTATAAGATAAGATATTTCATATTATTTTATAAATAGCACTTGCAATACTTCTATGTGCTTCTACGTAAAACAAATCGAAATAACCGATAACGGCGATAACATAGCGCACGTAAAAATAATGTACGTGTAATGTGGACCAGAAATAACAATAAAATTTAGAAATTAATCAAATTGTATTATTTTGATACAAAGCTAATTTAAATATTTTTTCGTTCGAGATTTATATTAAAAACATTCAAAAAAATGTAAAATTATGATATTCGTAAATAATGTAATCTATGTGAATTTGGGGCCCTTAAAATTTTGGGGCCCCGGGCCCGGGCCCTACGGGCCCATGCCTTAAGACGGCACTGCCAGTAATATATAATTTGAATTGCTTTACCTAATCATAAACATGGTTGTACCAATATTTTAGCCTTAATCTATAATGAAATAAAAATAAAGTTTACCTACAGTAATACCTATGTATTAAATACTAATATTATAATATTATAAGAGATAGGGTAACTTTAACATAATTTGTTTTTTATTTTTGGTATGTATCATGACAAAAAAACTAGCCAGCTAAGTATCATTTCAACTTTTTGATACATATCCTCCACTCTTTACTTCCCCTATATTGTAGTTCTCCACTTCTTATAAGCTATCAATCACATGCATACATATATAATATAGAAAAAAACTATTACAACTGTGATGATACCTATCTATTTTATCATGGTCTGTACATAAAACTGTAAATGCAATGTTAGTTTTTAATACCTTCTTCCATATCGTGGATCACTGTTGGGTGAACAGCCCAGTGCTTCGAGGTCACCTGGCTGTGTGCCACTCTGGGAGTAAAACTTTTTATACTTATGTTTTTCATCGCCTACCATTTTGCACGAATAGCTTTCGATCCTAGGTACAACAAAAAATATTATGACCAACATGTACATTTGAATGATGAGTATAACAACAATATTACCTGGCAACGACTTTAACATCTCCTCGGTCCACACAAAGCGCTCTCGACAGCTCGGTTAATTGAGAGCTCTCCAACAGTTTCATGATGGATACAACAATGGAGCAATGTCAATATTATTTATATCCGCAAATTGTGCGGGAAATACCGTATTCGTTGTACAAAGCAATTACTCAAATTCGGGTATGTCGTCAAACGTTCCATTTTTACGCTGATAGCACCGCGGTCCATGTAAGGACGGATATGGTCGTCCCTGTCCAGACGGTATGGTACTGTCGTCGACACCGACCTTCGAAGGGCAAATTACGAATGACGGTTTCCGGGCAGGAAAAAATACAATAGGTACGCCTACGGTGAGCCGTCTAGTCAGCCGGCGATCAGTAAAAGATTGCTGATTAATAACAACGGATCTCGACCTAGGTATTCGCCGTATTGATTCGAACGCCGTGCAGTCGCGTACGAGGGGTCGAAATGTCGAACGAAAAAGAAAGGCGCAATGACTAAACGGTCGGGCGCAACACACACTTGAAAGAGTTGAAAGTCGTAACACTTGCTTTGTCCGTTGAACGTTTATTATTTATCGAGTTGTTTTTGTTTACTCACAGCGCGCGCGCACTAACATTCACGCACACAGACACACACTCACACAATTACGGATTACGGACGCGATAAAAATGACCGCCAAGCCAAAATGCCGATTGCCGCCGCTGCCACCAATATCTAATAATAATATTTTGCGGGATGTTGTGTTGACGACCTTGACTCCTTTGTACTATTTATCTTTCTGATATTATTATTATTGTTGTTGCAAGCTGATGCCTGGTAGTGAGCCAGTCGGGAATCTCTAATCTTTATCATTTGAACACGGTACCACCCCACCGAACTACCGTAGCGCCATCCTTTACCTACAATACCGTCGCAGCCGCAATATCATTCTTTCGCTCTCACTCTCTCTCTCTCTCTCTCTCTCTCTCTCGAACGTGCGCTCATACGCACACGATCATTACATTGTACTATGACTATGTCGGATGGTGTGTGTGTGTGAACGTGGGAGGTGTAGAGTGAGAGAGAAAGAGTTTTCGAGGGGCCCGAGCGCGCATGCGCACACGGCTCTACGGCAAACGGCCTTTGGTTTGGAAAACAGCTGCCCGCGCCCGACGTTATTCAGTCATTGTGACATTGTGTTGCTTCGCCATCGGTTGGTGGGGTAGCCTGGGTTGGTGGGTTGTGGGCTTGTGGCCTTGTGGGTGAGTGAGTGTCTACTGTCGAGTGATCGTCATCAGTCGGTCGTCGCCGGTAGAGGACGGAAATAATATTATTATTTTAACGTTTTCCGCGATTTTTAGTTTTTACACTTTTGGTGATTTTATCACTCACAACTAAATTACGTCAGAATTCTATACCTATAGTCGCCGGCACAAAAAACTGAGCGCTAACCGTCATGCAACAAGCACCGATTTTCGTTAGTGGTTATCAACCATGACGCCCGATTTTTTTTTTACTATCAAATTAAACTGAAGGCATTTGAATGATATAATTTGTATTTAGGGACTATAATTGTCAGTGTTTATTAAACACCGGATTACTGGTCAACGTTAATTTTTCGTCCCTGCTCAATATACGATGCGTGACGGTAGTGCGCCTGTAGAATGTTGAGAACCAATGCTTACAGCAATAGCACTGGTTCGGAGGAATGGGTCGCGGGGGGGCAGCGCTCATTTTTAGTGTCCGTGACTACAGTAATATTATGTCTACAGTCTTCACATATAAATATCAATAGGTAATAGTGTTATAGTTTAAAGTATTTAAATTGTATGTATGTACCTATACCATAATAAATAGGACGTATGGTACTATATGACTAAAATAGATAAAAAAATATCACACTAGGTACCTACAAATTTAATTCCTCCATCAAATGCTTACTTGAGAGGATCGGCTAATGTAATATTTATTATTTACAAACTACGCTACCTATATTTCCCGTTGCACGTAGATCATTTGTTGTAGCTTATAGCCAAGGCCCACGGTATAGGTAACTACATGATATAAGCTTAAACTTCATAAAACATTGTTTACAGACCGTGATCCCATAAAAGCTCGCAGCATACAACAGTAGATTAGAAGTAGGTATATAATATTATAGTGTTATACTTATAAAAATGTAAATTAACAAATAATAAGACTACACCTATTTTAAAATTGAAATAAAAAAAAAAGGATATACCAAAAACATAATAAGCTGATAACAATATGATTTTAAATAATACATAGGATTTTCACAATAATCCCTCACTTATCTGAAGCATAAAATGCAAAATCAGTAAGATTATGCCGTAAAATAAAATTGTGAAATTGAAGAATTGAAAACAGATATTAGGTAGTTACGTCAGATGGCCTAGGAACGGAGGAACGGGAGGTTACTGTTGGCTGTTGCCATAATATATAAAGGAGCCAGAAACACACCAAAAGCAGATGATTTATAAAGGTAGATGTAGATGCACCTACAAGACAGTCAGCTTTTTTTACTTATTATTATAAATTTTACTTATTGTACACTGCACACAGACACACAGTACATATCTACATGGGTGCTCATCACGATTTACGGGTCACAGGTAGTATGGACTTCCTGGTCGCACTTGATAAACTTTGTCTTAATAGTTCATTCCATAGATCGTTCCGAACGACAGCGATGTGATTTCATTTAGTACCAACCTACTTTGTTACTAAATAATAATGTTACGGACGTTGGTCGCTTTATTATAAGCTCACTACATAATAAAATGATCGATTAACAATATATTATGTTCACGGATATAGTACTCAACCCATTTATAATGTAAAAAGTAGAAACAAGGACTCATATAGGAAGTACGCTGATAAACATCATTTAAATACATAAAATAAATATACTATTGTACACTCAGAATTCTATAAAAAAAAAGGTGAAATGTTATGTGTTAGAATTAATGTAAAAAAATAAAATATATCAAAGTTATAATTTGAAATATAGTTAATAATAATAATCTTTACTTATGGAATTCAATTCCAATTCCAATAATATTAATAAGACAGTGTAATGTAAAATATAGTGTATACTGTAAAATAAAAATATATAGATTTATAATAAATAGTTTTAAATTAAAATATAATATAGCATATAATGAAATATATAATTATGAGTTATGACAATTATGTATAATAATAATTGTTTTTGTTTTATTAAATTTACCAATACAATAATAATACCTACGTCTTTTTTATATCATACATTTTAAATAGGTGAATGTAGTCAGAAAAAATGTATAAGCAAAACGGTTGATATAGTTAGTTACTTTTATTAGACACCTATATAATTACAGTACCTACCTTCCTATAACTGCTTTAGAATGCTGTTATTACCTATTGGCTATTATAAGTTTACTCTATAAAAAATGACTACCAAGGCAGATGCACGATGCGCCCTCCATAACAATTACTTCTACATTAAGATTTTAAAGAAATTATATTTTTTTTCTGTAAAAACTGAATGGCTAAAGTTTAAAGTTTTTCACCTAGGCACCTACGTAGTACAGTCCCTATAAATACGTAAGATAATATGTACCTATTATGAAATATGAGTTATAACTTATAACATAATCAATAATCATATATACGTTACACCGTAGTACAGTACGCATGTTATGGATATGGTACTATGGTAGTTTGGGGGCATCCATATAATAATAAATCATTAAATTATCTATAATATATATCATATAATATGTATAACTATGTCTTTTCTGGATATAAATAATTTTTATTTTTGTTTATCCTTTCCCCGAAATGACTCGATCGTCGATAACAATAATTTACTATACCTAGTATTATTATTGCTATTTGCTACTTGATATTAAATTTATTATATTGTATTATAAAATATTTTCTGATGTATACAAAATACAGTACAAAAAGTTCCTTCAGACTAAAAAGTGATTGGAAAAATTAAAATATATTTCATCGCTTTTTAATTTATTTATAATTGTGCGCTTACTGACGGTAATAAGTAAAAAAAAGAATAAGGAAAAAAACAAAACGGAAAATCAATTTAAAAAAATGTAAAATATAATTCTAATTGATTATGAAAATTAAAAAAATACATACATCTGTAATTAGTGTGTAAGTGATCAGTGATCACTTTTTATTCACACATTCAACATTTTTAAATGTATGAATCAAAAAAAAAATACAAATTATCATCGCAAAAAAATTCACATAAATACTTCGTTACATACTACAGTACCAAATATTTTTTATGAAACAAGATTTTCAAAAGAATAAAATTTTTTATACTTCTATATTTTTAAATATTAAATTTAACATACATTTTTTTTGAGAGATTGGATACTGACCGTTTTTAAGAAGTCTATGTGTTTCTGTGTACATTTGTCCGTGTATACATAATATGTATATTATTAGTATTAACACTTGATAATTCGATTCTAAGTTTATTTGAAATAAACGTTTAAAAGTTACAATAAAATAGTAAAATATACATGACTTAGGAGTTAGGATGTACACTGTACACTGAACATACCTACAGAAAGATTGTATGCTGGTGCTGGACTTAGCAATTACAAATTAACAGAGTTGGCGGTACAGTATTACAGGACACACACGAGGCGGGCTTATATGATGGAATTTTCTGGGGTTATACATATATATACATAGTATTTTTATGATTTTGTTTCTATACGTCAATATTGTTCATTTTATAGATATGCAATTAAAAACCGAATTAATAAACAGTCATTTTGTAGAATATGTTTCTATTTATATCCCAGTATTTTTTTTTAAGTAAATAAGTTGAAGTACAGATTCCATGGAAACCAATTTTAATTGAAAAAAATATTCTGAATATGAAATAAACTATGAATAATATAATAAAAAATTGTTTATTTGAATTTGTATTTACTATTAAGATTATGACAAAAAACTTTGGAGTCAGTTGAAGTACCTAGGTGCATCAAATTAACTCTTATTATGTCGTCACCCTGTATTTTCTGCGTGTGCTATTATTATATCAATTAAGCCGATTGTTGTTAACAAATTATGTTGAAAAACATTAAAAATTAAAAACATGGATTTTACTCAAAACCTATATTATTTTATTGCTGTAACTCAATATTTTTAAATTGTAAGTACCTATTCAATCAAATTTGTATACAACACTTGTCCATACATAATACAATTACAAACATATTTTGACTTTTTTGTCATTTGACATTTGAAATTGGTAGGTAGTGGACGAAGGATGAAAGAATTGGAACAGCATTGGAATGTAAAAACGGTTCAGTATGATAACAGGCAAGGACCTAATAGTGTCTTAGATTAATGATTAAAAATAATACATTTATCATTAAAAAATATTTTATTATTTATTTGAAAACTGTATACTAGTTGTCATAAGTATTATTAATTACTAGTATATGGTCCATTAGTCGAAATTTGACCAAAAAACCAGTTTAATATTGTAAAATCTACACCGTCTAAAGACTAAATTTACATTATTCTTAGCACGCACACACATCACACATGGTTCGGTATCAACGCTTCTTCTCCTATTATTCGTATAAAACGGTTGAAAAAAACTATTGCTTTTTATTTATTTCATAGTTTCATATACTACCTGAATTCGACTGGACAATTTTTTTTTAGTTTTAATTTAATGGACAGATGGCGCTACTGCTGTATTTTTCTATTTGTATTTTGTCCGTCTATTAACGGCAACATTTGTGTAGAATTTTGTTTTGAGCAACTCTAATTTACAATACCTTTCCAAGGAATAGAATAATAAATACATATATTTAACTATAAAAAAATGTGGCTAGCATATTAATATATAATTGGTATTGTATTAGATATATATAACATGTAGTTTGG